GAAAACATTTCTGATTTGATTCTGAAAGGAAAATTGAAACTACATTAATTAACAGGAATACACCCAGCAGGAATGGTGGTATCTTTTAATAATACTGAATTTTTTTTATGGATAGAAAATGAACATTTGCAAAGAGCTTCCAGAAATTTTTTGGCAGAGTGTAGCAACAAAATTCTCACAAGCAGGAGAATTCAGCTTGTAAAAAGAACTAACTGGATCCTTTTTTTTTTTGGTTTTTCTAGACAGGGTTTCTCTGTGGTTTTGGAGCCTGTCCTGGAACTAGCTCTTGTAGACCAGGCTGGTCTTGAACTCACAGAGATCCGCCTGCCTCTGCTTCCCGAGTGCTGGGATTAAAGGCATGCGCCACCACAGCCCGGCTGGATCCTTCTTCATATTGAATGAGCAACACCAATTTATGGTGCTCCTATGTTCTATACTGATGCAAACAAATCAGGAAAGACAAATTATAAGTCAGGGAATTTAAGTAAAGTGGCTCAAAGTCTTTATGATTCTGTTCAAAAGTCAGAGTTATATGCTATTTCATGGTATTATTAGATTTTCCATAAACTTTTAATATAGTTACTTATTCTGAATAGAAATGCAGGTTAATAGTCTGTCACCTATTACAATCAAACTTAAAGTCATGTTAGGTATGTTTTAAATAGATATATTTTAAATAGACAGGTATTCTTCTAACAAGTCAGTGATCTACAGAATACGGCATTTAAGATGTTTTAATAACATAAATTTGTGTGTGTGTGTGTGTGTGTGTGTGTGTGTGTGTGTGTGTGTGAGAGAGAGAGAGAGAGAGAGAGAGAGAGAGAGAGAGAGAATGAGTCATTTCCACTCCTGGAAGCACCAGTCTACTTCAGAGAAGATGATGGGAATCAACAAAAACTCCATATGGAGTTTACTTTCTTTATAGACAAAGTTAGCCATGGGGCAGGAAACTGTTTTACCTCAATAGCTGATAGTTACTGTTCAAACTGAACAAGCAGGACACAAATGGAAGTGGCTGCCTAACTGTGCCAAGGCAAGGTGGAATTGTCCCCCCAAAAGTCTGTCAGATATTCTAGGCCTGAAGGCTGAAGAAGGATGCCCCAATGTTACAGAGGAACTTTGGGTGTTGAGGCAGTCAGCTGTTTGTGATTTCTCACATTTTTGGAAGTTGCTTGCTTGTACTTCCTGTGTATGCAGGTAATATTATTTCCTTCTCGGGTCTCTGAGGGCGCTAAAGACTTTCCTTGTTATAGTTTTCCTTGTTACCAAATTTGGGAAGGAAACTCACAAAAGAGGTGTAAAGTGTATAAGGTTGAGAGACACAAAAAGATAGTTTTGGGTTAGTAATGTAAGAAGTGAATTAGGTACAAAACTTTGGACTCACCAAGATCAATAATGAAGTATTTTCTCTAAATTTGCCTAATGCAAACGGACTAGATGTTGTTAATGTAATTCTTCCCTGTATATATTTGTATATAGATATTGTACTTATTATATATAGTTTTTCTATGCTAGTAAAACCTTTGCTTTTTATTTAGATAAAAAGGTGAAATATTGTATGATAGTTTTATTTTGTTCTGACAAATAAAGCTTGCTTGGAGTTAGAGGGCAAAGCCAGTCACTAGCTGACCTAAATTAACCATAGAGGCTTAGGGAACTGTAAACAGAGAGGAGACAGGAAGCAGGAAGGCAGAGGAGAGAGAGAACCTTAGCCCTTTAGGACAGGAAAGGTAGATGGAGGAGGCCACTGGTTGACGCTCCCTGTTTCTTTGATCATTTAGGCTCTTACCCTATATCTGAGTCCCGATTTTTTTTCTAAAGATGAATTAGACTAACACTTCAATACATGTCTGTTTAAACACAGAGACGAAGCAGGACATGGAACAATCAAATTGTAGTACAGGTCTGACAACCTTGCCAATTCAATGATTCATTTATATCTTGATTTTTAGAGCAAGAACATCCCAGCAGCATTCTATGTTGCATGAAAATACCAATGCTTTGTACACTTTTCTTGGTCCACTGTTGCATGCAGGACATCAAGAACACCATGTCCCTGGGTAAAGTGCTTCTCAACGGAGAACTCACTGAGGGAATTAATATCTGAGACTTGTCTGCCATCCCCAGAGCTAAGAGTAAACACATCTATAGAGGGCAAGCTGTGTGAGGTATCCCTGGGTCTACCTTAGTCTCTAAGAATTTAAAAAGCATGGTAACTAGTGAGTACCAAATATTTGATCCCAAATCTCAAAAATTTACCAACTCCAACAGTCGATTTCTAACCATCCTTTCAATCCAATGTGTCAGAACCAAGTTTGTACTGTTCTCAAAATAGCATTTTGGCCACTGCTCTGTGGGATCTGAATTCAGCACATTAAGGGCAGGAACTAGGAACTGTTCATTTTCTATCATGTACTCAGGCTGATTGTAAAGAGTAGTCGTGTGTAGATGCTACTGCTAGCAATAACATTAGAGAGGAAAGCACATACATTAGAATGACAGTTTTTTTAGATGTGCAGTGATGCTTCTTGTAGAGGCTATGGAATATTATTTGGGTGAGGGTCAAAAAAGTTAGGTCTAAGAAGGGGCTGATGTTACCTACACTATTGCATCTAAGTTTGTGACTGCTGTTTTTTGAACACCTGGAGGAAATACTACAGAAAATAAAGTTGCTTTATGATTTACGAAAGTAACTGAGTCAACAAGAGAGTGGGATAATTTGCTGTGTGAGCAGCTCTTTCAGGGGTTGTGAAGATCATTTGCATTTTGCCAAATTTTCTCTTACTTTTTGTCATTCAACATAAAACCAGAAGTTTGTGCTTTAAAGTTTGTGTTTCAAAAGCTGTTCCAAGTATACAAAGAATCACTTCTAAGAATGTAGCAAACTCTTTAACTGTGTGCATTGACATGGAAATTTACAATTTTCAGATTAAATGGTACATGATTATGGTAGGATGGTTTGAGATAAAAAGCCTAGCTACTGGATAAGTTATAAACACAAAGCAATAGAGACTGACACTGAACAATGCATTTCTGAATCTGGTTTCTTTCAATTCTTTACTAGAATAAAAACAAGAGTGAGATTCTATGGCAAAGTCTTGTCTAATATTGCTTTTAGTACTGCCAGTTGTGAAGAGATAAAGATCCAAATGCACCGATAAACTATCAAAATAGACATCACTTAAAATCCATGAGGTGTTTTGTAAGATTTTTTTCTAGTTTTATCTATTAAGTATAGATTCCTTTATATGAAAAAAGTAATCACTAGACTGGGAAGATGGCTCAGCCAGTAAAATACTTGCTACATAAGAATGAGGACCTGAGTTCAGATCTCCAGAAACCACATACAAGGCCAGATAGGATGGTATCTATTTGTAATCCCAGTGCTGGGGAGTGAGTGACAGATAGTTGAAATTCATTGCCAGTTAGCTCTAGTCAAATTGACGAGCTTCTGGTTCAGTGAGAAACACTGTGGAAAAACAAAAGGTGGAGAATGACTGAGATAGAAACCTGACCCATGAACATAGTTAGGAGACTGCACACAGAATGTCCACGCATTTACATGAACATTTACATACACCACACACACACACACCAAAAGCAGGAGGAGGAAGAGGAGTAGGGTGGAGAACAATCAGAAGAGTAGAGAATTATGAAGGTCTGCTCGTGACAGCCTTTATTTACTTCAGGTTTGCCTGATATCTTGAGCTTTATGATGGATGACTAAAAGTTTTTCTTTTATACCTCCCAGGTCATTTTAGAAGGACAATGATTCTTGCTTCAACTGTCACAGGAATTCTGGGTAGAGAAAAGGAATGAGTTGTATAAAATGCACCATAAAGAGGCTGCCTCCTTGGTCAGCAGTTCAGCTTCTAAGGGCTCCTTAGACTGTATTCCCTGGATACTTCTTGGTTAAGTTTCTTAAATCCAGGAGCAGTTTGTTCATTCATACTTGTATCTTCAGTCATGGGGGCTTATCTGTTTGGGTCAATAAATACACAACTGACTACAATAACTGTCGTTTGACCTTGGATGGATATCACCAACCACTAAGGGAAAGATTTCTCAATTTTTCTCAGAGACTACAAATGCACCGTTGATACAAACCAAGCCTTTTCATTTGGAATTACAAAAGTTCCTGTTGTTAAAAGTTAGTGATTAAAAGTGGGCTGGGACCCTACAGCCTCCCAGCTATCTAATTTAGAACTTTTCCATTTCTTACTTTACTGCTTAATCTAGACAACAATCACATACCAAAAATGGAAGTTTCCTTCAATTGGTATTCACAATCTTATTTTGCTTAGAACTTTAATATTTTGAAAGAACACATAGCCAGTACTAATGGTGATTGTGTTCCATTGATAGACATCTACAGACTGAAGAATGAGGCCCTGTTCTCCTCTGCTGCTGAAGTGCATCCTGTCACTCATTCTCTCCATAACCTCAGAGAAGTCTTTATTGCTTTCATGTCAGTGAGCATTCTCATCTTACTGTGTCATGATGGGGTGGGGGTGAGGGGGTTCTAAGATATACTACACAGAAGTATTATAATCACAACTTATGAAAAGGGGGCATTTATGCTCGCCATAGGTACTTTTAGCATGAATTTTCCAACCCTAATTTGATCAAAATCTAAACCTAAAGGCTGGAACAATTTAGATTTCTTTCAAGTTTAATTGTTCACTTTGAGAAAAACCTCAAGGTCTTGTGAGAATGGTAGCAGGGCGGAAGGAGAAGCAGGGACCCAGCTGCTTTGCACATCAGAGAGCCTGAAAGTGAAGAGCAGATTGGATGAGAAGCAAAACCACAGCACAGAGTCTCTGTTCACTTGCTCTCACAGAATCAATCAGGCTCTTCGTACTGTCCTCTCCCAGCAGTTCTCCTGATTTTCCCCACTAAGATACTGCTAGGATAGAGGATACCATCCAGCTCTGGAGATCCTAGGGAGGAAGAGGAGCCTTTTGCTTGAGGAGTCTGCTCCTGCCTGATAGGTGCTGAGAATGAAGATACCGCCTGCCATGTGTGGGATTCCAGGGTTGTTTAGCAAACTCTTGATCCTGCATGTGGGCTTCTGGAGCATCCTTGGTAAGGCACCTGCTAAGAGGACTTCTTGTTTTCTTTCTCAGTGTTCATTTCAGTGATGGTTTTCCTTGTTGAGCTTGCTAGGGGGAGAGGGATGTTTATGTCCAGCGTATAGCTCAGTAGTTACCTTTGCTTCCTGAAAATGCTAGAGGGTGCAAGTGAACTTAGAATATGGGATTCAACTGCCTACCGAGCAAACACAGAATCCATAGCTTGGCCAAGTTTCCTGGAAACCTGTCCTGGTGGTAAGTAAAGATATTTTAGCAGATGTTATAAATGCTTAAGTACAAATTTGTCACCATTGCTCATGAAGTCTCTCTGGCTGTTGTACTAAAAGGAAATAAATCTCATGTTCTCTCCACATGGATGTCAGCAGGAAGCTGTGGTGCTTAATTGGGTGGGAAAGGTGTTGGATACTTGAGTTCATAGCTGTGGCCACAGCTACTCTCAATGTTCAATCTAAATACAATCCCTCCTTGTTCTCGTGAAATGAACCATGAGAACACTGGACAAGCATCATACTGTGAAGTAGAGCAGCGAGCGCTGGTGTTGTTGTTTCATTGTTGAACGAGGTGACTTGTAAGTGGTTGCCAACTGAACATAGAAAGTGATTCTCCATAGGTGATGCTGGCTCATCCCTACAAAGCCATTTTGTTACCAAAACCTGCAGTTCTTCTTTATCTCTCGACACTTTGCTTCTGCACAGCAACATGCCTTGGAAAAGAATTTTTTAAATGATTATTTAATTTTATTTTATGTGCAATGGTATGAAGGTGTCAGTTTGCCCAGGAACTGGATTTATAGACACTTATATGTGGGTGCTGGAAATTGAACCTGGGTCCTCTGGAACATTAGTCAATGCTCCTCTCTGATGAGCCATCTCTCAGCCCCCACCTCTCTTAATGTGGGTGACAGTTATATGGCTGTGGCAGACTGTGTTTTGAGTTCTAGAATTATGAAGCTGAGAATTCAACTCTGATGTCAGCAGACCACCTATCTGGGGCAAAGTAAAACATCGCCTCAATCATCCAAGCCCCTACTTATTAATGGTCTATCACATAGCTATAGCTGAAGTCAAATATTAAACTAAGTCTATTTAATTCTAAGGCATCGATTGTAGACTGACCTCGGTGGAACAAAGGAAAATTTTAACTCTGCATCACAATTAGGCTGTCCTCCATTCTTCCACCCAGTGTGCTATAACCTTGTATTCCTGCACATAAACTTGGTTGCAGAATTGGATTCTTTAGTGACTCTGCCACTTACATTATAGACCCAGTTAAGTTTCTTTTCCATTCTCAGCTCTACTTTCATTTAAAAACATATAATAATTATACCTAAATGATGTGTCTTTGTTATGTCTATACTGACTAGCTATGGTAAGCACATGCAATTAAAACTTGATAAATGTTAATGGTAAGTTTCCTAAAAGTTCTTTTCATCAGTTCCTCTTACAAAATCCAATTAGATGAGAATTAAGGTTTAACATAAGTACGTTAAGTAGTTCTGGTTTTAAACTTTTCATCATTTTTAAATTGTCAAGCACTATATGTATATATATGAAGTATGATACAGGCAAATATTTTAGAATGTTTAAATCAAGTGAACTAACTTGCCTATGACCTCACATACCTATTGTTCTAAATCTATCCAGTTACTGATTTTAAAATAATAAGCTGCAGTTACTCTGCTGCGACCGAAACTTTTTACTTCTGACCAGTGTTGACTTCATGCTCTGTGATCAATGTTTTCCTAATACTTGTTTCAAAGCTAAAATAATAAAATATCTTGTATACAATTTTTAGATCCAAATGTAATGAATCATAATATATGTAGAAAATGAAACAGAAAGATTTAGACAAGCGCTGTCCAGGTGGCTTATACAGCAGTTGATAAGGTGGATTGCAGTGCTGCTCGGGTTGAATTAATGGATTAGTGGATTACAGCGTCACTCTGAATTACGAATATAGACTGGATGCTGGTGGTAATGGGTAGAGGTATTTGCTGTCAACCTGAAAACTCACTTCAATTTCTGGGATGCACATGATAGAAGGAGAAAACCAACTTCTGCATCCTGAAAGTTATCCTGTGACCTCTATACATGGGTTACACACACACACACACCTGTGCGCGCACACACACACACACACACACACACACCTGTGCACACACACACACACTAAATAAATAAATTCAATAAAATAAAATTTAAAAGAATATAAGCTGAGAAAGGAGCATCTGGTGAGGTTTGAAAGTGTGTCTAAGTGGTAGAGTGTTTGCCTAACTTTCGTGAGGACTTAGGCTCTATCCTCAGCAACCTGCTGTGCCCTACCTCCAAAAGAAGAAAAAAATAATCTTTGATAAATTGTATTATTCTGGACAAAACTGATGGCAGTTCCAGCTCATAAAACTATACTAATGACAGAAAGAGCCTTTATATCTTGAAGAATTCCTATGACTTTCAACAACTACTGAGTGAAGTAGTGTGTTCTCAAATGAATCAAGGATCAGTTAACATTTCCCCCAGTTATAGTAATGTAAAATGATCAAGAGCTGTGCTTTTTGTGTTTCTCAAAAAGAGAAAAAATAGAGGAACTCTCCCCAGTTTCAATAGCATCATTTCTCTCCTGATGGAAATAGAGCATAAACACCTGTGTCACATGAGGCTAGGAAGTTCTGAGTGCAGGTTTTCAGAGATTGCTCCATCTTTGAGGGCCTGAACTACTTATTCAGTTGAGACTCAACTGAGGACTTCAACTTGTGTGTGTGCGTGTGTGTGCTTGTGTGTACGCATGCATGTGCATGTGCATGCGCATGGGCGTTGGGTGTGTGTGTGTGTGTATTGCGTACACGCGCATGTGTGTATGTGTGTTTAATCTGGAATAAAGGTGGTACAAAATCTTTGATGGATCATTGATTATTGTAATAGAAATATTCACAAGAAGGCCCAGTAAAGGGATAACATGTACAGCCTGGCTACAGTCAGAACACAGTGGCTAGAGTCTTGTTGCCTGCTTAGCCTTGGCCTGTGTCTTCTTTCTCTTGAAGGTGAGCATTATGATGTTGCTGTGTAAAGACACTTTTAAACTGGGTCAGAGCAGTCATGCTCCAAGTCAGTCTACTATCCCTTGACAATATAGCATTTCCTCACCTCACTATGCAATGTTTTCAGTTTAATTTATGTTGTATGTATGGATGTATTTGCATCTGCATGTTGTGCATGCCTATAGAGTCCAGAAAAAGGCATTGGATCCTGGGGATCTTCAGGTACAGTGGTTATGAGCTTCCTGAGATGGATGCTGGGACTTGAACTTGGGACCTCTGGAAGAACATCAAATGTTCTTATCTGCTGAGTTATTTCTCCAGCCCCTCTCTGTCTCATCTTCATGGTTCCAGTATTCCTGTTGAAATGTTCACATGAAATACTGGAAGCAGAGATGCATCTTCCCCCAAATTCCAAACACCTTTTGTGTATCAAAAGGTATCAAGATACTTATGCAAATACCCAGAAATACTTTCCTATGCTTCAGGATTTCCTGGATTGAGCACAATCAGATTAAGTTATGTGCTGATTGCCTTCTTAAACTGACTCACTAGCATCTTAGGGCTCTTTAAGTTCCTGTTACTTCCTTTACCGCACTATAAAATTGTCCTCTATTGTATTACTGAAGTTGAAACTATTGCCAAACCTCCAAGGGACTTTCCTACTTAACTTCTATTACCTGGATGCTTTGCTGTAACTTGGAGTTTGAACTTGCTGAAAAAAAAATGTTGAAAAGTATTTGTAATTAGGTTCATAAGATGTGATTGACTTTTTGCTTGCTTTCTTTAACAATCTCTGTTGTGCAGTTGTTAAGGATGGGTGTCTAAAAATAGCTTTGTCAGTAGACCATGGCTGTTATTGGTTATGAGCAGCAGCTCTAGTCCTCAATTTCTCATCTGTCAAAAGAAAATAGTCACGTGTTTCATTGAGGTGTTATGCCGACTAAGTGCCATTTTTTCTGGACAAATACCCAGAATGTTGAAGAGCATAAATACTGTGTCAATTTAGTTAAGAGTGATTATTTGTTATTGTTTTCTTTTCTTTCAAACTTTAATTAGCTTTATTGTTTTCTTAAGTGGTTGGGAAGTGCTATTTCCTTCCAGGCTAGCTCCATGCCATCTGTTTCCATTTTTAGTCAGAATGAGCGCTAATAGGCTTATCTTTGGCGAGTTACTCAGCTTCTCTCACAGTGTCAGTAAGGGGAAGCATTTGTGATTTGTAATTCACTTTTCTCAAGTTCTCAGTTCTCTTACCTTGAAATTACATAATATCGTATCCCTGTCTTATTGCTCTTGCACTTATGGTTTATGTGTTCATCCCATGATAGGAGTGTCTCATGTGCTTGTGTATGTGTAATGTAGGGATGTCTATTCTTTGTATCCTCAGAGTCTGACAAGACATCCCTGTTAAACATGGATCAGGGAAATGTCTGATGGACCAAGTAGGACAGTCACAAACAAAAACAAGTTTATCTGGTAGGTCTCTCTAATACCATTTCCTCTTCCCTAACTGCCACGCTCATCCAACAAACAGCCTGGAATTCACACCTATCACAAATAGTCCATGGTTTAGAAAACATTGTCAGGAGAGTCATTCAAATTTTAACTGGGTGGTCATGGCTCGTTTCATTTCCTTCTGTAATATTAGAAAAGGAAATGAACTCTGTGGAGCAATTGGCAGTTTTGTTTTGTTTTCCCACAAACCAACCATGATTTCCCACAGGTCAACCATGTCTGGAGCTTGAGAGGCACTGAAGTTCAGTGTGCTGTTTCCGCAGACTGTATTAGGGAAGTGAGGAAATATATTGCAGGGAAGTGAAAGTGGACTTTACTGTACCTTTCTTACATAACAAAGTCTTACTGAGCATCGCAAGGAAACACCTTTCCCTGACATTTGTAAAACACAGACTGGTTTCTGATAGAATGAGAGGAGCTCACCAAACACTACTGTCAGTGGCTTC